GGGTCGCGACCCCTTCGGGGGTCGAACGACCATTTCCCAGGGGTCGCCTAAGACCATTGGAAAACACATATTTCCGATGGTCTTAGGAACCGAGACACCGCTCCTCTCTCAGGCGATCTGTGGGCGGGATGATATGCTGCCCTGTAACCTGGCCACACCTCCGGGATCACTCAACAGCTCCGCCTCCTCGCCGCTGATTGGCCACCGGAACTGTAGCTCAGGAGAGGCACACAGGCGGCCAATCACCGGCGAGGAGGTGGAGCTTGGAGAGGAGGAGCCGAGCGGCAGCGCGCGGAGATTGAAGAAGATCGAGGGAGCTGCAGGAGCGAGTGAAGAGAGAGGCAAGAGAAGGAAGACAGCTGACAGGTAAGTGCAAATTTTGCTGCTGCAGCCAGGTATGCAGGCTGTAGATGGGAGAGGGAGAGAGCGAGCCCAGGCTGGAGCAGGAGTCAGCAAGGTAAGTATCATTGGTGTCAGTGGAAGGGATAGTGCCCCATCATTTGTGTCACTAATACCAACGATGGGACACTATTCCTCCACCCACTGACACCAACGATGGGGCACTATTCCTCCCACTGACACCAACGATGGGGCACTATTCTTCCCACTGATACCAACAATGGGGCACTATTCCTCCCACTGACACCAACGCTGGGGCACTATTCCTCCCACTGACACCAATGATGGGGCACTATTCCTCCCACTGACACCAACGATGGGGCACTATTCCTCCCACTGATACCAATGATGGGGCACTATTCCTTCCACTGACACCAATGATGGGGCACTATTCCTCCCAATGACACCCACAATGGGGCACTATTCCTCCCACTGACACCCACAATGGGGCACTATTCCTCCCACTGACACCCACAATGGGGCACTATTCCTCCCACTGACACCAATGATGGGGCACTATTCCTCCCACTGACACCAATGATGGGGCACTATTCCTCCCAATGACACCCACGATGGGGCACTATTCCTCCCACTGACACCCACAATGGGGCACTATTCCTCCCACTGACATCCACGATGGGGCACTATTCCTCCCACTGACACCCACGATGGGGCACTATTCCTCCCACTGACACCCACGATGGGGCACTATTCCTCCCACTGACACCCACGATGGGGCACTATTCCTCCCACTGACACCCACGATGGGGCACTATTCCTCCCACTGACGCCCACGATGGGGCACTATTCCTCCCACTGACGCTCACGATGGGGCACTATTCCTCCCACTGACGCCAATGATGGGGCACTATTCCTCCCACTGACAACAATGATGGGGCACTATTCCTCCCACTGACGCCAATGATGGGGCACTATTCCTCCCACTGATGCCAATGATGGGGCACTATTCCTCCCACTGACACCAATGATGGGGCACTATTCCTCCCACTGATGCCAATGATTGGGCACTATTCCTCCTCACTGACGCCAATGATTGGGCACTATTCCTCCCACTGACGCCAATGATTGTACACTATTCCTCCCACTGATGCCAATGATGGGGCACTATTCCTCCCACTGACGCCAATGATGGGGCAGTATTCCTCCCACTGACACCAATGATGGGGCACTATTCCTCCCACTGACGCCAATGATGGGGCACTATTCCCCCCACTGACGCCAATGATGGGGCACTATTCCTCCCACTGACACCAATGATGGGGCACTATTCCTCCCACTGATACCAATGATGGGACACTATTCCTCCCACTAATGCCAATGATGGGGCACTATTCCTCCCACTGATACCAATGATGGGACACTATTCCTCCCACTAAATACCAATGATGGGGCACTATTCCTCCCACTGACACCAATGATGGGGCACTATTCTTCCCACTGACACCAATGATGGGGCACTATTCCTCCCACTGATACCAATGATGGGGCACTATTCCTCCCACTGACACTATTCTTCCCACTGACGCCAAAGATGGGGCACTATTCCTCCCACGGACACCAATGATGGGGCACTATTCCTCCCACGGAAACCAATGATGGGGCACTATTCCCCCCACTGACACCAATGATGGGGCACTATTCCTCCCACTGACACCAATGATGGAGCACTATTCCTCCCACTGACAACAATGATGGGGCACTATTCCTCCCACTGACACCAATGATGGGGCACTATTCCTCCCACTGATACCAATGATGGGGCACTATTCCTCCCACTGACACCAATGATGGGGCACTATTCCTCCCACTGATACCAATCATAGGGCACTATTCCTCCCACTGACACCAATGATGGGGCACTATTCCTCCCACTGACCAATGATGGGGCAATGATGGGGCACTATTCCTCCCACTGACACCAATGATGGGGCACTATTCCTCCCACTGACACCAATGATGGGGGGCACTATTCCTCCCACACTGATGCCAATGATGGGGCACTATTCCTCCCACTGATACCAATGATGGGGCACTATTCCTCCCACTGACACCAATGATGGGGCACTATTCCTCCCACTGACACCAATGATGGGGCACTATTCCTCCCACTGACACCAATGATGGGCACTATTCCTCCCACTGACCAATGATACCAACTGACACAATGATGGGCACTATTCCTCCCACTGATACCAATGATGGGGCACTATTCCTCCCACTGATACCAATGATGGGGCACTATTCCTCCCACTGAACCAATGATGGGGCACTATTCCTCCCACTGATACCAATGATGGGGCACTATTCCTCCCACTGACACCAATGATGGGACACTATTCCTCCCACTAATGCCAATGACGGGGCACTATTCCTCCCACTGATACCAATGATGGGGCACTATTCCTCCTCCACTGACACCAATGATGGGGCACTATTCCTCCCACTGACACCAATGATAGGCACTATTCCTCCCACTGACACCAATGATGAGGCACTATTCCTCCCACTGATACCAATGATGGGGCACTATTCCTCCCACTGACACCAATGATAAGGCACTATTCGTCCCACTGACACCAATGATGGGGCACTATTCCTCCCACTGATACCAATGATGGGGCACTATTCCTCCCACTGATACCAATGATGGGGCACTATTCCTCCCACTGACACCAACGATGGGACATTATTCCTCCCACTGATACCAGCGATGGGACACTATTCCTCCCACTGCAAAATTACAGTTATGAAGTAGCAACGAAAATAATTTTATGGTTGGGGGTCACCACAACATGAGGAACTGTATTAAGGGGTCGTGGCATTAGAAAGGTTGAGAACCACTGCTATAGTATATCTCCTCTATAGTATATATCTTCCTCTATAGTATATCTTCCTCTATATATGTCTTCCTCTATAGTATGTCTTCCTCTATAGTATCTTCCTCTATAGTATGTTCCTCTATAGTATGTCTTCCTCTATAGTATGTCTTCCTCTATAGTATGTCTTCCTCTATAGTATATCTTCCTCTATAGTATATCTTCTTCCTCTATAGTATAGTATCTTCCTCTATAGCTTCCTCTATGTCTTCCTCTATAGTATTCCTCTATAGTATATGTCTCTCCTCTATAGTATGTCCCCTCTAGTATAGCATGTCTTCCTCTATAGCAGTATATTTCCCTGTGGGTCGCGACCCCCTTTGGGGGTCGAACGACCCTTTCACAGGGGTCGCCTAAGACCATCAGAAAACATATTTCCGATGCGTTAAAAGCAGCTACTGCGTTAAAAGCAGCTACTGCGTTAAAAACGACACTCATGAATTATAATTACTGGGTAAATAATTTTATGGTTGGGGGTCACCACAACATGAGGAACTGTATTAAAGGGTCACAGCATTAGGAAGGTTGAGAACCACTGCTCTATAGTATGTCTTCCTCTATAGTATGTCTTCCTCTATAGTATATCTTCCTCTATAGTATGTCTTCCTCTATAGTATGTCTTCCTCTATAGTCTTCCTCTATAGTATATCTCTATAGTATGTCTTCCTCTATAGTATGTCTTCCTCTATAGTATGTCTTCCTCTATAGTATAATTCCTCTATCCTCTATAGTATGTCTTCCTCTATAGTATGTCTTCCTCTATAGTATGTCTTCCTCTATAGCATGTCTTCCTCTATAGTATGTCTTCCTCTATAGTATGTCTTCCTCTATAGTATGTCTTCCTCTATAGTATGTCTTCCTCTATAGTATATGTCTTCCTCTATAGTAGTATATCTTCCTCTATAGTATATCTTCCTCTATAGCTCTTCCTCTATAGTATATCTTCCTCTATAGTATGTCTTCTCTATAGTATAGTATATCTTCCTATATAGTAGTCTTCCTCTATAGTATGTCTTCCTCTATAGTATGTCTTCCTCTATAGTATGTCTTCCTCTATAGTATGTCTTCCTCTATAGTATATCTTCCTCTATAGTATGTCTTTCCTCTATAGTATGTCTTCCTCTATAGTATGTCTTCCTCTATAGTATATCTTCCTCTATAGTAACCCTTCCTCTATAGCATGTCTTCCTCTATAGTATGTCTTCCTCTATATAGTCTTCCTCTATAGTATATCTTCCTCTATAGTATATCTTCCTCTATAGTAATAGTATATCCCTCCTTCTTCCTATAGTGTCTTCCTCTATAGTATATCTTCCTCTATAGTATATCTTCCTCTATAGTATATCTTCCTCTATAGTATGTCTTCCTCTATAGCATGTCTTCCTCTATAGTATATCTTCCTCTATAGCATGTCTTCCTCTATAGTATATCTTCCTCTATAGTATATCTTCCTCTATAGCATGTCTTCCTCTATAGTATATCTTCCTCTATAGTATGTCTTCCTCTTATAGTATCTTCTCTATAGTATATCTTCCTCTATAGTATGTCTTCCTCTATAGTATGTCTTCCTCTATAGTATATCTTCCTCTATAGTATGTCTTCCTCTATAGTATATCTTCCTCTATAGTATGTCTTCCTCTATAGTATATCTTCCTCTATAGTATGTCTTCCTCTATAGTATATCTTCCTCTATAGTATGTCTTCCTCGGACACTTTCACCCCCTCCAGTCCGGACACTTTCCCCCCTTTCCAGTCCGGACACTTTCCCCCCCTTCCTGTCCGGACACTTTCCCCCCCTTCCTGTCCGGACACTTTCACCCCCTTCCAGTCCAGACACTTTCACCCACTTCCAGTCCGGACACTTTCCCCCCCCCTTCCTGTCCGGACACTTTCCCCCCCTTCCTGTCCGGACACTTTCACCCCCTTCCAGTCCAGACACTTTCACCCACTTCCAGTCCGGACACTTCCCCCCCCCCCCCTCCAGTCCGGACACTTTCACCCACTTCCAGTCTGGACACTCCCCCCCCCCCCCCCCCTTCCAGTCTGGACACTCCCCCCCCCTTCCAGTCCAGGCCAATTTTCAGCTTTCAGCGCTATCACATTTTGAATGACAATTGCGCGGTCATGCAACACTGTACCCATATAACATTTTTTTTAGCATTGTTTTGAGACAGATAAAGCTTCATTTTCGTGGTATTTATTCCCCACTGGGATTTTTTTTTATATATAAATGAAGAAGTCCAATTTTTGAAAATAGAGTTTTTTCTCATGGTGACACTGTACTACTTGTGGGGGGTGATGAATTTTTTTTTTTTTTTTTACACTGATTGTTTTTATACCCATAAAGGCTGTAAATCAATCATTTCTCCTTCTCTCTGGCTGCATTCTTGAAGCCTTTGAGAAATACTGTGTGAGCTGTGATTGGTCACAGCTTGTCACATGGTACAAGGCTGTTGTGAATGGCTCTGTACCATGTGACCTCTTTGATCATTCACAGATTTCACACATAGTAAGCAATGATGTCAGAAGTGATTTCTTGCTTACAACTATTCATGAGATCACTGATTGGCCAATCAGTGATCACATGATCGGGACCTCACACACAGGTCCCATACAGTGATCGGTGTTCCGCTGTGTCTTCCGGACACAGTGGGCACCACACTGCGGTGCTGCGCGCTCCCCCAGGGAGCGCACACAATCCAAAATGGCGGGCGCCGTTTATGAATGGCAACCCACCCCTGCACTGCCACCGTCCCGGCCATTTATATACAGCAGCCAGATGGGAAGTGGTTAGAAAACAGCCACTCACCTGTCTTTTGATCCCGCAGTGATCTCACCACAACCCATTTCACCGGCCTCCCGGTGTTCCTGGCCCTGGCATCTTCAGTGTGGGCACCCGGTTGTGACAGCTTGCGACTTCACAGCCGGGTGCCCACTGGGCATATGTTAGTACCACTGCACTTTCTGAATGGTCCCATAGTCTTCTGAGACCTGTCATGTGTCCCAGAAGACTACGAGGAGGGGGAGGAGGACAACTTCACTTCTGATCACCTAGGCCAGTGGTCTCCAAACTGTGGCCCTTGGCTTACCTTTTATCTGGCCCTTGGAGCACTATTCCACCAACTGATGCCTTTGAATTGGCACCATTCCTCCCACTGAGACCATCGATGGGGCACTATTCTTCCAATTGATACAAACAACGGGAATTCCTTCCATTCAAACAAATGATGAGGCATTGTTTATGTTCATTGACACCAAGACATTTTCTACTCCCAATGGTCACAGTCCGGCCCCCTAACATCTAAAGAACTGGCCCTTTGCTTAGGAAGTTTGGAGACCCCTGGCCTAGGCAACAGAATTGGGAGCGGGTACCTGTCAATTTTGGGTACCTGCTCCCCCCTGCTCCCCAAAAGTGCCAATCTTTAATGGGGAGCGGGGGACCAGTCCTTAAAACGGAACTTCCATTTTGGATGGAGCTCCGCTTTAAAGATGTACTTTACCCTGTTTTAAAAAAATTAACAGTCAGCAGCTACAGTGCCAGGGATCCAGTGCTCTCCTCCCCCGGACTGGTTCTTCAATGGTCCAGGTCCCTAGCATGATAACTGTGGGAAACCAACTATGACTCCTTGTGGCTTCACAGCCAGCTTTCCACTGTGCATGGGTGGAGGGGAGAACTTCCGGTGGAATCACAGTGGCAATCTAACCTGATGTGGGTACCTGGTTTGGAAACATCTTGGCCCCCCCAAAAAAAGTTCCAAAAGAAGAAGAGGAGGGGGGGAGGACATAAAGTGGAACTTCCTCTTTAGTTTAGATGTTTTCCTCTGCAAGGTAATGTCATAATGTGTGAGGATGCATCGTATACTAACACATTAGAAAGGATTCACCTTAACCCCTCGCCTACCGAGCACTTCTACCCCCTTCCTGCCTCCCGGGCACTAATACCCCCTTCCTGCCCACCGGGCACTTTTACCCCTTCCTGCCTCCCGGGCACTTATACTCCCTTCCTTCCTCCTGGGCGCTTATACCCCCTTCCTGCCCACCAGGCACTTATAACCCCTTCCTGCGAGACCACTAGCGCTCCACTGATTAGGCGCTCCCAGGGCACGGAGTCTAAGCCCCAGGGTACTTGTTCACCAGAGCCCCTGATGGTGGGGATGGACTTGGAGTACCCGGAGACCAGGTCGTGGCTCCTGAGTACGCCTGTCAGTGGTAGGGGTATTCGCCAGGGGCTCCCACGGGAAGAGCCTGATGTGAGGAGGTCGGGAGACCCCGGTGGGATGGATGGATAGAAGAGAGCAGGTGCAAGGTCAGACAAGCCGGGTCGGTAACAGTGGGATCGGTGCGGTACAAAGCAGGGGGCAGAGAATAGTCGGGTCACACGCCAGGTCAGCAACAGGAGGTCAGATCTAGTAAGGGGCATCCAGGAGAGAGGTCAGGCAAGCCAGGGGTCAGAGTGGGAGAATACTGCAAGGGTCAGGTCCAATCCGGGTCAGCAACTTACAGGAAACAGGATCACAGATACAGGTATGCAGAAGAGACCAGAAGGCACTGAATGACAGCTCAGGGCCGTTTAAATATCGCGCCCTGCGCTGCCATTGGTGCGACCGCGGTTCCTACTGCGTATGCGCAAGCCTGAATGCCGCGGTCGGCCAGGAACTGGTGCCCGCGTCCCTGCAGAGAGCGGCGCACTGCGCCTGCGCCGGGACCAGCGCCACAGGGATCCCTGACATTGCCCCCCCCCCTACGGGCAACCTCCGGGTGCCCACCCAATCTCTCCACCACAGGTGATCACGAAGAAACTCCCGGACAAGCCTAGGTGCATGGACATGTTGGGTAGGTTCCCAGGAGTTGTCCTCCGGACCATAACCCTTCCATTTAATTAGGAACTGGGTCTGACCCCCCCTCCTTCGGCACTTCAGGATTGCTTCTACCTCAAATTCCTCTTGCTCTTCGATAGTTATGGCCTCCAGAGGTCTGGACTCTCGATCTGGAAAAGGGTCAGGGACAACTGGTTTCAGCAGGGATACGTGGAACACTGGGTGGATCTTGAACGTCTCAGGGAGGATGAGCTCATATGCCACTTCGTTGATCATTCGCTTCACACAGAAAGGGCCTACAAACTTTGGTCGCAATTTTCTTGACGGACACAACATTTTCAAATTTGTCGTTGCCAACCAGACCTTATCCCCAGGCTGCAGCACCAGGTCTCCCCTTCGTTTCTTATCAAACGCCTTCTTGTTATCCTCCTGGGCCCTCGCGATGGCCTCCTGCAGTAGTTTGTTGTTGGAGGAGAAAAATGCAAGTGCGTCTTGTGTTGCTGGAACTGGGCATTCCGAGACCAGATCAGGGAGAAAGACAGGATGAAATCCGTAGTTCGAAAAAAAAAACGGGGATTGCCCCGTTGCTGAATAGTTAGTGTTATTATAGGCAAATTCTGCCAGAGGTAAGAGCGATAGCCAGTTATCCTGTAAGAAGGATGTGTAACAACGCAGGTATTGCTCCAGGGTCTGGTTAGTCCTCTCTGTTTGTCCGTTGGTCTGCGGGTGGAATGCGGAGGAGAGGGATAACTTGATATCCAATGCCTTGCATAGGGCTCTCCAAAATTTAGACGTAAATTGTACCCCTCGGTCGGATACAATGTCTTCTGGGACTCCATGTAGTCTTACAACTTCCTGGATAAAAACTCGTGCAGTTTCGGATGCTGACGGGGTATTCTTCAATGGCAAGAAGTGGGCCATCTTAGATAGTCGATCGATGACCACGAGGATGGCGGTGTGGCCTTGGGACGGAGGGAGCTCGACTATAAAGTTCATTGCGATCCTCTGCCATGGTCGTTCGGGGATCGGCAGAGGTTGCAGCAGTCCCCAAGCCTTGCTCCTTGAAGGTTTGTTCCTTTGGCAGAGAGTCTCCAGGAAGTTCTTCTCCAGGAAGTTGACACCGGCGGAACGTAACTATGACATTGGAGATCGGGAGCTCCTGGCCATTAAATCCACTCTAGAAGAATGGAGGTATTTACTGGAAGGAGCCACACACCCAATCCTAATATTCACAGATCACAAAAACCTGGAATATTTAAGAATGGCAAAACGACTGAGACCTCGCCAGGCGAGATGGGCTCTTTTCTTTTCTCAATTTATATTCCATATAACGTACCGACCCAGTACTAAGAATACAAAACCAGACGCTCTGTCCCACATGTTTGAGGACCCCGACGACGCAGTGGTACCAGACACCATCCTACCTTCCGGAAGCTTCCTCGCTCTACAAACGGAACTTCGCTCCCGACTTCTCGATGCTTCTGTAGGACTACCAGTTCCGTCTGGGTCACCCCTCCAGAACCACGGTGGGCTGTTTTGGAAGGAAGACCGGATCATGGTCCCAGAAGAAGTGCGAACCTTGGTCCTAGGGCACTGCCACGACCATCCAATGGCGGGTCACTTCGGGGTTACGAAAACTCTGGAACTACTACGGCGCTTGTTCTGGTGGCCGGATATGATCAAGGATTGTGAGCGTTACGTCCAGACCTGTCCCACCTGTCAAAGGAACAAGCCCTCCAGGAGCAGGGCATGGGGATTGTTACGTCCATTACCTATACCCAAACGGGCCTGGCAGATGATAGCCATGGATTTTGTGGTCGAACTCCCACCATCCCAAGGCTACACAGCAATAATGGTGATCGTCGACCGCTTCTCAAAGATGGCACATTTCGTACCCCTGGAGAAGACCCCATCGGCACCAGAAACGGCACGGATCTTCATTAAGGAAGTAGTGAGACTTCATGGGGTTCCCGAAGATATAGTGTCAGATCGGGGAGTCCAATTCACCTCCAGGTTCTGGAACGCCTTGTGTAAAGCGCTGGGAATCAAGCTGTCACTTTCATCCGCCTACCATCCACAGACCAACGGCCAAACCGAGAGGACCAACCAAACGCTGGAACAGTACTTACGATGCTACACATCCTACCTTCAGGATGACTGGCTGACGTTGTTGCCTTCCGCAGAATTCTCGTACAACAACTCGAATCACTCAGCTACGGGTCAATCCCCATTCTTTTCCAATTACGGGTATCATCCCACATTCCTCCCTGATCTGATGCCTGAAAATCCGGTACCGGCATCTCAAGACATCTTGAACTTCTTTTCTGTCAATAACAAAACGATTCAGGAAGCCATCGCTAAAGCCCAAGAGGACAGTAAAAGGGCGTTCGACAGGAAAAGAAGAGGAGAGTTACTGCTTCAACCAGGGGATCAGGTTTGGCTGGCAACGACCAACTTGAAGATGCTGTGTCCTTCAAGGAAGCTGGGACCCAAGTACATTGGCCCATTTCCGGTAAAACGAGTAGTCAACGAGGTGGCCTATGAACTCGAGCTTTCGCGAACCTTCAAGATACATCCTGTGTTCCATGTGTCTCTCCTGAAGCCATCCAGACCGGATCCCTTCCTGGACCGTAAATCCAGACCTCCCGAGGCAGTCACCATAGGTGACCAGGAGGAATATGAAGTAGAGACTATCCTCAGTTGCCGAAAGAGGGGGGGCCAGACACAGTTCCTGATAAAATGGAAGGGTTATGGCCCTGAGGAGAACTCATGGGAACCCACCCAGAACGTTCACGCACCCAGGCTCATCCGGGAGTTTTTTCGTAGTCACCCGCGGTGGAGAGATCAGTGGGGCTCCCGGAGGGTGCCCATTGGGGGGGGCAATGTCAGGGATCGCGGCTCCGGAATCCGGGATCGCGGCGCCTTCCCCCGCACATGCGCACTGGCGGCAGATCATGCCGGGACACAGGCACTAGGTCCCGGCGAGCCGCGGCTGACAGGACGCCGCGCATGCGCAGTAGGAGCCGCGGGCGCGCCTCAGGCGTCCAATGACAGCCGGGGGCGTGTCCTAGCCGGCCAATGACAGTGAAGGGCGCACTATTTAAAGATGCCCTGCACTGTCACAGATTGCCGCAAGGTCTATCTGTGATTCTGAGTTCCTGCACCCGTCTAGTGACCCTGATTGACCCTGACTACGCTGCCTGCCCCTGTGATTGACCCGGATTGCCCTGACTACTCTGCCTGCCCCTGTGATTGACCCGGATTGCCCTGACCATTCTACGGACTGACTTACCCTGCTGATCCTGCGTGTGACCCGACTACTCTTTGCCCGCCGATTCTGTACCCCGCTTACCCCCACGGGACCACGATCCGTTACCACCCTGCTGGGGCCGCCATCCTCTTCACATCTGGCTCTCCCGGTACCTGCATACATCCCCGGAGGTCTCCTCAGCCACTGGTGGGCCTGCTCAGAGGTCGTGACCTGGCCCGGGACTGTTTCAAGTCCATCCCCACCATCAGGGGCCCTGGTGAAAGCACAGCCCGGGCTTAGACCCCACGCTCTGGGTAGGTCTGTCAGTTGGCAGCCTGAGGCACCACCTGGTGGATCATAACACCCCCTGGCAGTCCGTGACATAGGTAAAGAGCCCTAAACAAATATTTATTCTACCACATATTCTGTATTTATTATGATCAATAGTTTTCCTTCCAAACTACCTGAGAACTCTTCAAAAGTCCATAGACAACTTCATTTGGGGCATCAAAAAAGCAAGAGTAACAAGATATTTCTTTTTTTTTTTAATTCTTTTTATTAATTTTAAGTTAACAAGTATAAAAATACAGTAACCAGCTGAGCCAGTAAGAACAAAATAAAACAACAAAGTTACAAACGTATCCCCCCCGTCCCCCTTCCCAACAACAGTGCAATGCCTTCATTAAAACAGAGTCAAAGTGCAGGTGCCCCAACCATACAAAATAGATACTTCACATGCAACATACCCAGAAAACCACAGGCGAGGTAATATGAGACAATTTATGTATATGATCTATTTTCCAACAGATACCAAGGATCAAACATAGTAGCAGGCGACATTATTATTATTATACAGTATTTATATAGCGCTGAAGGGTTTGCTCAGCGCTGTACAATAGCAAGGGGGACAGAACATGAGACAAGACAGTACAATACAATACACGAGGGGTTCGAGGGCCCTGATCCTGGGAGCTTACAATCTAGGAGGGAGGGGATAGTGGTACAG